TTTCACTGGTCTTCTACAGCCTACTCAATCAGAAATTTTCATCATCATGCTTATCATGTGTGCCTTCCCAGACATTAACAGCAATAAATTATTATAAAGTGCACAAGTACCCAAGTCTTAATCATTATCAAAAGGCCAAATTAAGTTTCAATATTTACATGCTAATTTTATCATTTTAAAGGGAAATTAAAGTAGTTTTTGAGAAAATGCAAAGAAAGCACAAGTTTATTTTCTTCATGATATGACAACATATACTTTGGGGAAAAAAGGAAAAAAACAAACAACTAAGCACTGAAAAGCATGATACCTTATTAACAAGACTGAACTGTGAAATGAACTCAAGAGAATAAAAGAATGTGCAAGAAGAGCACTAAAGATACAGTGACACATTTAAAAGAAACATAATTCTTCTAAAAAAAACTAATTAGAAGTTCATCAGAACAGTTTTATTGCTGAGGAAAAAAGGACATAAGAAAGAACATACAAGTCACCTAGCTAATGGATTTAATCTTCTCAGCTATGTATATTTTTCATCTCATATTTAAGAGTAAATGCGCATATGATTTAATTCAGTGTAGTTCAGGTATATGAAATGCATCAGTTATCACTAAGCAAGTATTACAATCCTAAAAAATTCTCTATTTACTTAAGCAACTGAAAAATACTTCTAAGCATTTACTCTTATTGCCCACACCAAATTTATGATTACCAAAAATTCAGCCGATGATTGCTTTGGAAGCAACAGATAAGACATGGACTATCAAGCTCTTAAAAACTAAAGTTGTCATCAACCAATCTTGAAGAGGGAAGAGATTCTTTCCAGTGGCTCTTTCAGCAGAGACTGAAACCAGCAAAGATTCAGGCTGCTGAAGGGATAAAGTTGTTTTACTAAAAAAACCTCAAGCAGTTGCATACTACTTGTCCAATGCTGGGCTACTGTTTGTCCTCCAGTAGTAAACAGAGTTTTAGTCTGTTTGGTGCATGAAGGACTCAACCAGAGTAATAGAGACATCCAGAACACCAATCGAGAATGAAAGTTTAACACTCAGTTTTAAAATATTTCACTATTATTTAAGATAACAAGCCAATGTTACTTGAAAAAAAGAAACAAAAAATTATGTTCCTGTCTACTGACCATGTTACCTACATACCTATACCTCCATTTGTTGCAGATTCTTTTCTAAAAGGTATGCTTTTGCAAGAAACATTGACCAAAACCAAACGAACCAAAATCAAACCTTAAAACCAGTGAATTTTACATAGCAGTCTACATGTAACGTACAGCTACACCGAGACTGACAAATATATATAAGAAGTTTATTCTACATATGATAACAGGTTTATTGCTGTTAAATAATATATTTATTTCAAATAAAAGGTGCAAACTGCTGTTTGTAGCCGATACTGCTTTACACAAAGGAATATTTCAACGATTATTTTTCTTTTCTGATGAACTTCCTTTCTGAAAGCTTGTTTTGGCACTTCTTGTTTGTTTGCCTTCAAAGAACACATAAACTGTTTCAATGTTTTAAATGAAAATACCTCTGCTCTGCTTTCTAACATTACTAGGACTACTCATTAAGGATTGAGTCAAACCTCTGAAGTACTTAATGTCATAAATATATTCAAGATAACACAGAACAAAATCCTATCACAATTTTTTATTCAGTCTACTAAAAACCAAGACATTATGCTTTTTGCATCTGCATAGTATGAAACATTTAGAACTCCCCACCCCATTCTTTGTCTATTACATTTATCCAGTTATACAAAACAATTCCTATCCAAACATTGAAAAAAAACAAAAACAAACCAAATCAGAGCTAGTAAGCAGAAAGACATAAAAACTGCAAGTTGGATCTGCACTTATGTAATACCCTTCACCTCATGTTAAAATCTATCTGCAGTAAGCCCCACTTCCATAAAATTTGCATTTTATCCTTCCCACTACAATCCTAGTATATTAATTCACTTAACGATCGCTAGATGAAAGAAATTTAAGTCTTGAAAAAAAGAGCAAAGCAAAACGCAGGGGCCACCCACTGCTCCCGAAGACTCAGGGGGGAGTGAAACCCCCCCCCAGCCCTGCTACCACCAGGGGGACTCGCAGGGCTCGAACACTAAATAGGGAGGAAATTGAAAGACTCCAAGGTATTAAGAAAGTGATTTCTGTAGCATATTACAAGCAATTGGAGTGCACATGTTTAGCATCCTCTTTTTTTTTTTTCTTCCTTACATGACAAGATAAGATGAATTGCAGGAACAGTTGCCTATTATGTTCCCCCATGATTGCTTTTCTTTTTCAGCTGTGATACTGTAATTCCCTACTGAATCCAAAAAGCACATTTCAACACTTGGCACTGTCAGGCAATAGCCTGTGATTCCCTTTCAAGTTCAGTTCTTTACATGGCAGATAATAAAAAGGGGTAGTTGCAGGAGGCATGTTTCTTAAACTGGTTTTGAGTTACCACCATGGCTTTCATGAGTTACTTACACCTGAAGTAAGAAGTATTTCTTCTATTTAATTTTTTTTCAATGGCAATATATTCTTCCATTTCTAAAGACTATCTGCCTGTCATCACAGGTTACCAATTATTATGGGCCATTCAGAGTTACATACATGGCAAACAAAACATTAGAACTATCAACAGAAACAATCTCTTCTATAAAGATACTAGTTGCAGTAACGTATCACCTTTTTTTTTTTTTTTCTGAAGAGCTGTGAATTCTACTGAGGGTAGGAAATATCATTATCAACTTCAAACAGATTAAAATGACAGTGGTGTCAAAGCTTTATTAACCAGCACCAAGTACATCTTACCTCCCTCCATCAATCAGTTAAAAATAAACTTATTACCTGTCTCACTTTTTTTTGGCCTAAAGGTGTGGTCTGTAACTAGTTATGTGAGAAATTGGAGCACTCTGACCCACTAGAAATGTTCTGCAAGGCTGGCCTAACAGAAGCAGCAGCCAAAGAGCATAGGCATTTTGAGAAGAAAAGAAACACGTAAATGTTACATGCGAGATGAACGTGTTGCATAAAAATAATTTCCAGTAACCCAAACAAGGTAGGTTAATAATCAGCCTCCGCTTCAATTATGGGTGAGCATACTATTTCAATATGAATACTTTTATTTTGAGAAGAAACTTTTCCCTCTGGTCCTAAAGGGCACAGTCCCTCAACAGATAAATAGTTCCTATTAGTAATTAAAAAAAAAAAAAAGAAAAAGGCTTCAAGTTCAACTAATCACAGCAGCTCAGACAACTTACATAACGAGTAGATACAGGGAAAAGGATTACTTATGTAGACACTACAGTATGGTAAAATACAAGGTTTCACATCCTCTAGCCAAGGCTAACCAGAAATTAATAGTAAGCCAGACATTAAGCTATCTTACCCGGCAAGGCAGAACACCTCATCCTTTCGCAACCAGAACTATTTGCCTTTAGCTATTAATAGCCTACAAATACATGTCATTTCCTCATGAAAAAACACTGATTTCATTCTTAAAAGTCCAAATCTACAGTGTAAATTTATCTAGGTACCTCTACATTTTTATTTGGAAAAGAAAGGTCAAAGAAGAAAGCACTGCTCTTTTCATAATTAAAGCATTTTCTAGTAAGGGAATAAAAAAAAAAGAAAAGGATACATTTTTAGACTTTCTGTGCTAACTTGTAGAGTTACATGCATTCATTCTAACAATTCCAACCACAAAGAAGCAAGTGCTCAAGCTAATTCCCTCCCCCCCCCAAGACAGTTGTCTGCTGTGAATCTAAAAACACATCATTCACAATAGGATTTCATTAAATATTTGTCATTCTCTCCTTTGATGCTTTTGTAGTTCTGGCAGTTATTTTACATCTACAGAAGTACCCCGCAGAAATGCACAAAGATTTTTTTAGCTTTCCTTATTTTTCTTGCAACTCAGTAGTTTAGCTTTGCTACTTTTTATGACCTATAGATTCTTGACTTTCGGTCGAAAGTGCAAGTTAAGCATCTCCTCTAGCCTGAAAATGCCCCTGTCATGAGAACAGCCTTTTAGTGGAGCATACAAAGCCTAGGATGCAAACCTAAAGCAGGTGCATCGTAGAAAATTACTCAGATAGTAAGCTGTTCCCACAGTTTCAATGTGACAAATTAACAAACAAAAAGCCACCATACACTAGACTTCCCCCCCCCCCCTCTTTCGACCGGTCTACAGCATTTGGGTTTCTTTGGCAAATAAACGCATCTCATGGAATACCGGAGGGTTAAAGCTGGGGGTTCAGCCCTAAACGATCGGAACTGGCCAAGCCGTTCCCGGCTCCGACCACTCGCTCCCCGCAGAGACACCTGAGCAGTGCGGGAGCGGTGAGGGGGGAGCGGGCAGCCACCGCGGCACCACCCGCGGGACCCGCTCCGGCGGGGCGAGTGCAGCTACCGCGCGGAGCCGTCACCTCAGATGCCTCCCAATCTAGGTCAGCCGGCTGCGCCGCGCTGCCGGCACCGCTCCCTGCTTCCCCCGCCTCGACCCTCTGCGCCCTGGCACTCCCTTGGTTTTTTTTGGGGGGAACAGCCTTAAAAACAGTAACAACCCCGCCAGCACCCCGCGGCAATCCCTCTCCCGGGCGCCCCTGCCCCGCACGGCGCCGCCGGCCGCCCCCGCCGGGCCTCCACGGCAGGACGGCGCGGCCCCGGGAAGCCCGTCGCTCCCACCACCCTCCCCGCCTCGCCCCCCGCCCGCCCGCGGGGCCGCTTACATTTTCTGCACAGGTTTCCGCCGCTTGCGACTGGCGTAGGTGACATTGGGGTTCATCCTGCCGCGGCTGTAGCGCCCCGCGCCGCGGGCACCGCCGGCCGGGGGCCGCCGCCCCTCCCGCCCGCCTCGCCCCGGCTGCCGAGAGCGGGCGAGCCCCACCGGCGCCGCAGCGCTCGCCTCGCTTCGCCCGCGGGCCCTGGTCCTGCTGCCCGCGGCCGCTCGGAGCGCGATCGCTCACTCGCTCGCTCGCGGTGGCGGTGGCGCCTTCCCCGGCCGGGCGGGGACGGGAGGCGGAGGCGCTGCGGGGCGGGATCCCAGGTGATCGGCGGCGGCTACACCCACTCACCGCCCCCGGAGGGCACAGGTACGGGGGCGGTCGGGGCTTTCCAGCGCCGCTCGCCCCGCGTCTCCTCGCTGAGGCGATGCTGGTTCCCTCTGCGGCGGCGGGAGGGTGCGCGGCCGGCTCTGCACCCCAGCGCGGCCGCCGTCTGCTGGCCGAGCGCCTGTCAGTGTGCGCGGCGCTGGGACCGCCCCGCCCGGCCCGGCCCTGCCCCGCGCCCGCTCCCGGCCGGGTCCCGCCCCGCCCGGCTGACAGCGCCACCGCCCCCTCGCCGGGGAGGCCCCTCGCGGCGGCGGCGCGGCGGAGGGAGGAGGGGGCGGCTGAGCCGCCATGTTGGGAAGGTCACGCGAGGAGAGGGAGCACCGGCGCGGCAGCGGGGGGAGACCTGGGAGGGCTCCAGGATGGGGATGGGGTGGGGAGAGGGAAAACCCCCGACCTTCTGGTGGCCGGGGAGGGGTGCGCGGGGGGCTCCCGCTTCCAGGGAGAAGGAAGGTCATCCCCGAGCGGTCGCGTAGCCCCAATAACAGAAAATAATCGTGGCAAAAAAAAAATGAAATCACAGAGTTCAGATTGAAAGACAAATGACACCAGCTCAGCGGCACGGCGAGGCCCATGTCTGCCACTCCTCTGCCCCCTTTTTCCCCCCTCCTCACCTCCCCGGGGCTGACACCGTCATAGCCGCAGGTCGCCCGGCAAAGAAACCCGAAATAACACGCGACCGCCCAAAATAGGGGGTTGCTGAGGAGAAGCGGAAAGGCACCGGGCTCCACCGAGGACAAGGACAGCATGACACCTGGGGACAGAACGGGAGTCACTGGGGGCAAGGCTGCACCCTCGTCAAGCACCGGAGGACCGGCGGGGCTCGCTGACCGAGGGCGCTGCTCATCTCTCATTAGGGGATGAATCCCTGGGTTATTACACTGGCATTTTCGGCTAAACACTTGTTTTAAAGGAAAGGAGCAGCATCGTAAAGAGTTACTCCCGAACTGCTGACAAGGAACACCATCCGAGGAGAGCCCGGTGCCGCTCTGACCCGCCGTCGCTTCCCCCCCACCACCCCGCCCTGTTCTCTCCCTCCGGTCTCTTTCGCCTCCGCCGCCGCAGAAGCGTAAGAACTCTTCCTTCGCCCGGAATAACCGCAATAAATTTTGTCTCAGCGCTAAACTTGGGAGCCTGGGAGTCGCCCTGTGTAAACACGGGCTGTTCGCGGTCACGGCTGAGACGACAGCCGGGAGGAGCTCCCCTTTTCCTCCCCTTTCGACGCACCCGCGCCCCGCGGGGACGGCCCTGCACCGCCGCCGGAGCGCGACCGCAGCTGTGGGCTCGGCCCCGGCCCCGACCTCGGTCCGGTCTCCCCTGCAGCCACCGCGCCCAGCGGGCGGGAGGCTGGGGCAGTGTCCGTGGTGCTGGCCTGGCTGCCCGTCCGCAGGGTCTGGCCGGGCTGTCAGCATCGCACCAGCGGCAGGAGGCTTGCCCCTTCCCTCGCTGTTTGCTGGAGCCTCGATTAGACAAGCGTTTCTCCTCCGCTCTGCTGACGGAGGCGATAACTGAGGCCCCGGTATTACCGTACGGTAAAAACGTGGGGGTGTACAAAGCTGGCCCTCAGGCACAGCGGCTTTCCTTGGGGCGGCGTCCGGGAATCTCGGGGGTCTCTTCGGGACAGGCCGTCCCGTCCTGCCGGGCGCTTCCGCGGGCGCTCGCAGCGGGCATTAGGCAGCTCAACGCGCGCTTCGTTACCAGCTTAATTGTTCGGTTTTAGTCTCCTGGGATGCTATCCCAGAGGCGAAGTACTCTGAAGTCACAATATGCAGATAAAATTAAAACTACCTAAGCCTTAACGATGCTAGTGAGGCTTGTCAAGTGCCAGGGTTTCGTCAAGTTATATTTTGAAAAAATATGTCTTCAGCAAACAAAACTTTTGAAAAAGTATAGTAAGACGACTTTATGCCTTACGAGGTCAATGCTTTGCAGTCACATTCCCAGCCAAACATCTTTGCAGAGGATGCCAACTCTTTGCTAGCTGCTATCTCTCCTCAGTCCCTTTCCTCTTCGCTCTTGATTCTCTTCACAAGATCCTACCAGCATCCTAGAAAATCGGGCAGGCAATACTGTACATGTCTTACTTCCTTCTTTTCTCCAGTCCCTTTCTTCTTTTGACTTTAGGGCTGAAACTGGAAATTCACACACTTTCTTCACACCAAACACATCCATCTATTCAAGTACTTAGTTTCTTCCAGCCTACACTTCCCTGTTGCTTTCAGTGCTCTTTACAGCCCTAGCCTCTCCCTGCTCACTGGTTTCTTTCTCTGTCATCACAAGTGTGTTGTGATCACTCCATACAACATAAAATGCTGCTCTGCTTTCGTTCTTCTCTTCACCCACATTATCTTTGTGTTGAAAGCTTACAGTCATTGTTCAAGACTCCTCTCCTAATTTTAAATTTAATTTCTTTCACACTGTCTTTTATTTCCTCACTTTGATATTGAACAAAGTCTCTAGTGACTTCTTATTCTTCACTAGACTTAAAGATCCCAACTGTTCCATGATCTTTTGTGCTACTTAGGTAGCAGAAAAGCACCTGTATGTATGCTGTCTTATTTGCCAGCTCCAAATGTACTGGGGGTTACATGAAAAAGGCAGTAGGCTTTAGCTTCCCATGATAGATTTCATCTGCCAGTTCCCCTCTGGGGCCATGGGACTTGCATGGTGCCAGTGAGGTACTGTGGTTAGTCTTCAACTCCCTGATTTGGAAATAGGGAGTAAAGTAAATTCATGCTGCTAGGCAGATACTGCATCCTCTGTGCATTTGCAATCCACTGCCTGCTGTTAGAAATCCACTCCTATGGATCAGCCACCTTTAACAACAAATAGGAGATTTCAGATGTTCAGCGCACAAAGAACCAGAGAATGCACAGAGAATGTCTTTATGTGTCACTGGGGCCTTTTAGACATTTACCTAAAAATTTCTGTATCACATTATCCACAACTTTTGCAAATCTGTCCTCATCTGATGTTCTTGCTGTCTCTTTGCCTAATGCATTGTCTCAGTATTTTCTATTTGGTAATTTGGGTACAGTAGACGTCTTGCCTCATATTCAGTCTAAAACAAGCACAAACTGCAATCTTAGAACCTTCGCTACAGTATAAGATTTTTGTTGGACTTTTTCTTTTCTGAACTAATATTTTGTCAGGTTTAACAACATGTTTGGTCTTGCCAAGGATGACTATGGTCAATGTCATGTGGACAGATCACTTTCATGTGTATTTTACAGCTCTCGTCTCTTCTCATTGTTTCTCTAGGCTACTATTCAGGTGTTTTACTATGTCTAAAGAACATAAAATAAATTCTGTCAAACCAATAGCAATCACTTTTCTCCTCATGCTCAAATCCAGTATTTTTTCCCTTCCAGTCTGAATCATGATGCCATCCAAGGATGAGATTTTTAGGAAAAATGTGTTACCTGTCCCCAGCATGTGTGAGGTCCAGTAGCCTTTGTGGTTATTATCCTCTGAAGCTTCCAGAGCTCTTACTTGTCAGCAGTCACTCCTGCTGCCCTAACTCCAAAATGAGCAATACACTTTTGTTCCACACAACTCCATGTCCTGTCCCATTTCTGCTTCTCCTGCCCTGAAAAGTCCCCTCCTAAGATCTGTTTCCTGGCTCTGCACTCATTTCACAAGGCAGGGACTGTTTGGAAGAGGGAGGACTTTTACTAAATGGACAGAAATTCCTGAGTGGGCTGTAGTTTCACAGGGTCAGTATGAGACCAACAAAAATCTTGTCATTTGGGAGGAATTTATAAGAATTATAAACACTGCTTGTTATCTTAGGGTCATCTCTGACTCATTTCTAGCTTTTATCCTACTCTTTCTGTCTGTGTCCAAAATTTTACTTCCCTCAACTTAATTCTATGTGCTGACTTCTAGATGTTTGCAGTGCAAATAACACAGAAGAAATCTCATTTGGTTATCTGTGACTTCTTTTCTGCTTCCTTTTCTGCTTCTGGAGACAAGGAAAGAAGATTGTGATTTAAAGCTGTTATTTATGCATATCAGATTTTGGGGATATACAGGACTACTGTTGATTTAGCTGTTATTTTCCTTGTTCTGTTAAGAGAGAATATCTATGGCAATTCAGATGAGCTGCTACTCTTCCTGCTCCATTTCAGGGAAGTAATCTTCTATGGAAGTTGAATCAGAGTCAGTGAATTGCCTACATACTTATTCTTTGTTGACTGGGAAGGTCACATAAACATATCACTGAGAGAAACAAGGATTATTGAGGGAAATTCTACCCCAATTTTTAAGACTTAAGAAGAAATAATTATACAGAGAAAAAAGAAATTCAGCAATGGGGCTAATAGTACAGAAGCCTCATTTGAAGGTACTAATTGAACTGTGTACAGTTTTAATCAGATTGACAAGAAACTTCCCCCTCCCCCACCCCACTGTTTGTATTTTTGTCAACACAGGACAGAACCAGTATATTCTTTTTCTTTTCTCCCATCCCTGCACCTGGCTCCCCACTCCCACTACCTTTGCAGGTGCTTTAAAATCACACCCGGTTTCTATTGAGTATTTAGCTTGGGGAGCATTTCCAGAAGTGGAAGAGCCATATAAAGGATGAAAAATATGAAGCATAATTAGTATTTGGGCAAATAGACTATAATCCTCACATAATGGTTAGTGCTGAAAGGTCTTTGTTAATAATGGTATTTTAATTATTTTAAATTCATTGACTTGCACTAATCCAATGAAATCTATAGTCTTAATTGTTCCAACAGAGCCGAGGAAAAAATTCTTGAGGAGACAAAAAAACACATTTAGAGGCTGTGCTCAAGATTTTTTCATGTGAGGAAAGTTTGAGAAATTAGTGAGCATTATCTGTAAGGCAGGATCATGATTCTGCTCAGATCTTATGATATGTAGAGCAAAAAGCATATTTTACCTGTAAGCATAGGAATAAAGGAACAATATTATTATGGAGTACGTATAAAAGTCAGTACATTGCTTACTATTCTCAG